TGAGACGGGACCCGTCTGTAAAATATCTTTTCATGCAATTGACTTGTTGGTACTTTTCAGTAAAAATACGCGGAATAATAATAGGTCGAAGTTGATCGGGAATCCCATGAGTTGCTTGTTTCATGGTCAGATCATATTCAATTGAAGAATTGCGATTGGTGAAGTGAACACGGTCTGGAGTATAACAAGGAAGACACATATATGATGATATGTAGTGGTGGTAGATTCTCATAAATCGAGATTGTGTGTTCAGCCCAAGAATTTCTTCAAAATTAGCAATTATAAGTGTGTTCGTCACTCCGCATTTGATTAGTATTCTGAGAGAGAGCTCCCAGAAACGGTTCTGGAGGGGTGTTACTCCTGCCAGAACCTCGAGACTCACGGAGATGAACATTTATATAACTTTTAAAGATCAGAGCTACACATTTTCATTTTTAAGGATGAACAAATCTGGCAAGAAGCAAAAAAAAAATCAATAAAATCACCTTCTTGCAGTTCTCTTCACAACTCCTTTGGAACTATTTTAAGAATAACATAGGAATTCAATCCAGAATTTCATTTCTTCTCCCCGCAAATCCCATGGAATTCATCTCAGAATTCCTTAGAACTGCATCTCACAATTACGTTGGAATTCTGGTAAAATTGAAATTTAAATTTCCCAGCACCTAGAAATGATCCAGAACCGATTATAACGTTTTTTTTGTTGGAATCTTGGATCTTTGAACCATATTGAGTGTTTTTCTCAGTTGAATTAATTAAATCTGTTCCTTTTTTTCTAAATCTATGATCACTAATATTTGTGTATGTCAAAAATCTGGCTTTAGACACGAAACATTTATCAAATATCAAATCTCTAAGTTTATTTTTTTTGTTAGTACAGACAACAATTTGTTCAACTATTTTACCTAGGTCTGAAATTGCATGAAATTTAAGATTTCTAAAATATTTTTTTTTACTATTGGGCCAAAGTATCTTAACATTTTATGAAATTTCGACCACAGTTAGAATTTATAGTTAAATTTGAGAAAAAAAAATCACAAATTTTAGGTGGATTTTTTTTAGAAACTTTAGTTAAAATGTCAGATTTTCCTGGACATCACAGACTTTAAATATTAATTACTAGTAAAGAAAACATAGCAGAAACATTCTTTTTTTGTGAAATGATAATATCAGCAATCCAAAATTGCAAAGAAAATCAAATTAAAAAACAAATAAACATTCACAAAAAAATATGAACAAAAATTCATGAGTGAAAATTTAAGAGTGGTATGCCTAACCATTTTTGAGTTATGACAGGAAAACTAACGGTTGATCATTTGCCAGAAACCGGAAAATTTGGTCCGGAAAAACCGGGAAAAATCCGTTAAATAAAATTCACCTGGCCACCTGAATGATGCTTCATTTCGCACATTTATTTATTTTATTTTTTTTTATTTATCGTCAATCAGTGTAGACCGTTTTACAATAGTCCTGTTGCCTTACATGCTATTTAAATTCAAACGTTTTATTTGAATTTGCGGCCACTTTTGAAATGATTTGACGTTGTGGCAATTTCGCTAAATACTAATATTTTTCCAAGAATATTTGCACCCTTGTGTAGTCTTGTAAGTGGTCACCGTAGTCGACATATTTTCTGTGATAATCGACTGCCTTTGCTTCCGACACTTGCAAAACAAGCTATCAAACTACAGTACCAAATTAAAATGTCATATGATAGACTCTGTCATACGACACTATTGCCGAAGACCGTCACGAATGTATGTATTTAAGTTTTTCTCATAATAAGAGCTGCGGATGTTGTGCTTGTGTGAATTCTGAAAATAGCAAGCAACGATGACCTAGTAACAACATTTCTGATCAGAAATGGTTTAATTTACACCAAATTGAGGAATTAGAACGAAATCACACATGTCATATGATAGTAATTTGAAAATTTTCTTTTTGCTCAAATGTTGTTCTACCGTTTGTGTTAGGTAAGAGAGACGATGGTAGAGCATAATAGTACGAATAAAAACAGACTATCGCGCATGACCACGAAGCGAGCGTCGTAGAAAACGTCAACAGTTTCAACCCCTGCCCTTGTGACCAGTGTTTGGAAAAACTCAAAAACTCAAATCTCTTGCCTGAGTTTATTCGCCTATGTGTTTTGCCTTGCAAAATTCAACTGCGTAAAAATCACTGGTGAGTTTTCAGGTTTAAAAATTCATTGCTTTATATTTTAGCGTTTATTCATTGATATTAAAGCTGTTTTTGCATCAGTGAATGAAAAACTAACACAACATGCATAAGCATTCTATCAATTGACATTTGAGCGTTCTTTATGAGTTTAAAGCTGGAATGATTTTTTGGCGTTGTGAGTATAAGTGCGTAAAAATAAAACAGAATCTCAAGTGTGAGCGTGTTTGTCAAATTTGTACGTGAGTTTATCCTTTCAGGGAGGCTAAATGAATGAGATTTGAGAAAGATTTTCCGAATACTGCTTATGACACTCTCAGACATTGAATACTCCAATATTTGAAAATTACTTTTCTTTGAGTACTTATTAGTAGTTCTACAATTGATAATTGAAAGCTTTTTACGTGCATACCACTTTTGCACAATAATACTCTAAAGGGTGTATTCGATAAAAATGGCACACCGAAAATCTTCTGTAACTTTGAACCGTTTGAGTAAAAAACCTGAAAATTTGAGTAAATATTATTCATAGTGTATTGTTTACATCTATCAAGTTTCATAGATATTCATACAGTAGTTCCAGTCATGTCGTGAGAAATTATCTGTGAAAATTTTTGTGCACTTACAATCAAAATTCAGAGACGTCCCACCGATGGATCGCTAAAAAACAGTGCGCAAAACAGTCAGGTTCAATGAGCCATTTTCATATGAATATGAACAGCCATCCGCCTCATCATTCACTGCCGAGTGAGAGCCTGAATGATTGGGAAGCAAACGAGTCACTGACAGCAGAGCACTCAGTCAGTAGCTCAGTCAGCACGTTTATTCTTTCCGTGATCGTACCCAATCCTTGTTTTGAATGACTGAGCGTACATTTTATATGGGAAATTGCCTCAATTACATGTTGTGTGTGCGAAGGCAAGCGGTGTGAGTCGCCCCTTCGTGAGTGACTGATTGTTTTTGTTGACTATTTCATTGCCTCATTCTTTACCGTTTGGTACATACGGTCTGGATAGAGCAATGCATTGAATAGAGCAGTGTCTTCACACTCAGCTTAAGCTGTAAATAATTTTACGCTCTACTAAAAAGCTTGGAATTACAAATACAACTGTGTCTCGTGTGATACGAACCTTCAAGGAGCATCTGAGTGCCCGAAGGAAGGAAGGGAGTGGTTGTAAAAGTGGTCCAATATATAGTAAAATGGCCAGGAAAGTGGTGCAACAATTCAAGAAACATTCAAACATGTCAATTCGAGATGTCGCTAAAAAGTCCAAGGTGTCAGTCGGTTTTGTGTAGAAAATCGTGAAGCGTGCTGGGCTACATATTCACAAGGTTCAAAAAGCCCCAAACCGGAATGAGAAGCAAAACATCACTGCGAAAATCCGCGCCCGGAAACTTCACACGAAGTTGCTTACCAAATTGTGTTGCATCGTGATGGATGACGAAACTTACGTCAAGGCCGACTTCCTTCAACTTATTGGGCAAGAATATTTCGTTGCCAAGTCTAAGTGCGTGTTCAAGAAGAAATTATCGAAATTTGCAAAGAAGTTCCTGATCCGGCAGGCGATTTGCGGATGTTTTGTGGAGTGGAAAGGAAGGGATGGGAGACGAAATTTATTAAATCAAATTTTGTAGACTATAACTATTTAGTAGTTTTTCATTCCATGACAATTTCAAGAAAATCAAATAATCGGTTTAATTATGGTGAGTAAATATGTGTGTGCCATTTTTATTGAATGCACCCTTTATGCCCAGAAATCAAAGAAAATTTTACATTCGAAAATTTCCTCGGCCAAACCGGGAATGAACTCGCCGCCTCAAGCAAATTATTGCTATGCAGCCATGTCTTGCTATCGGGCAGAGCCATGCCAAAACGGATCATCACCAAATCCGCTCCTGCCTGCTAGCTGTTCACTTCCACAACCTCTTTGTTGTATTGTTTCTACTCAACCCCCGCGGGAGAATTAAATCAACGAGAAAATCAGCAGCTTCGTTGGAGATTGTTTTCCCTGTTCCATTCTAGTCGCTGTTTTCCCTCTTCATTGATTTCGGGTCTTGGTATAAGATCTTCTGTGCAGTGGTGAGCCTTTCTTCGGTTGAATCCATCTTGCTTTTTACGATAACACAGGATACACACAGTAGAGAGCAAAAACAATTTCCAGCTTAATTTCTGTTAATTATTTAGAGGGGGCGCCAAATTAAGAATTCCAGTACCGTGAGCTACTGAGCTTCTTCCAGTAGCAGTAAGCATCATCGTCAACATTGTCGGTTGTGGGGTGATTGTTTCCCTCAACTGGTTTTCTCTCATTTCGAATGCAGAGCTGAGTTCAGTTGAAAGCTTTAGTTCATTGATGATTGCGCTGGGAGTTCTTCCGATTGGATTGCGTACCGTCTTGTTGGGGCAATCAATGGTTATGCTGTTTGTAGGTCTACTTGGGGAGCTTGCTTACGAACTGAGGCATTAACACTAAATGATAATAGGAAAAATAAACCTCTTCAGTGCCCAGCTGGTAGGCCCTCACTTTCTGTTTAGGGGTGATCAATTTTCCCAGATTAATCAGGTCAGTCTGGACATCATTGATATTTGTAAACACGTGAATGTTCCGGACAAATCAGGAAAATGTGTATTGAAAGTATGGACATTTCTTGATCAGCTGACGTAGATGCCGTTATATAGACAATAAAATGGCTAATCAATTACTACATTTATGATCATCTCGAGTGGAAAGCATTAATTTGATTTTTTCATTCTTTGCACAAATCTTAGATCTTCTAACGTTTCTCTTCTTTTCCTCCTTTTTCCTTCGCCTTTTTGACGCTGTTAGCAAAAATCCCGACCAGTTAATTGTGCGGCGCCAGTCAAGCGAAACCGGCCGGATAGCCGTTGATGAGGAGCAGTCGCGTGCCATTCGAAGGATCGTCATACCGGACCAGTTTGCGACGACGTTCGAACGACTGGAGAACAATGTTGTAGGTATAGCGTGGTGGGGAGAGATAAAGAACTCTGCTCAATTGAGGGTAGTAATTTGATTGGAGGGATTAATAGTAGCAAAAAAGATGATATCTTTTGTCGATAATTGGCATTTGAAGCAATTCAGAAGGTGATGTGAGCAGTGTTTGTTGAATTTTATGTGTTTATTAGACCTTTTTGACTATTAATTTAGATAGATTTCAAGTTAGTGGGGATGAAGTGGATTTGCATTTCATTTCAATCACATGCTCATGTAATAAATTATTATAAATACGGCCCATTAGGCTCGCCCATCACCGTAACCCACAAATTGACCGTGTTAATATGCAATAATGGCCTCTTCCATAGAATCACATCCAAATGAAATATTCATGCCTCCACAAATCCCTCACACAGGAGCAAAATTTATGCAACGCCACATCCTACCAGATCCATAATGTACATATTGTAATAATAATAATCGAAACGTGCAGAAACCAAACGAGTAAATTATTAATCACTCTCGCACACAAACACACTTTCTCACTCGTCCTTTCAGGCTCTTCTTGTTCTGGAACAGGACAAAGGCAAACATCAACCTTCCGACGAGGAAGATAATACAGTATTCAAACAGGCTCTCTTCAGAAACATCAGTAGAACTGCAGCCGCGTCTACGACTACCACCGCTACCATCTGGCTCCAACAACATGCGGAAGTAAGCCCTAACAGTCGAAGAAACAACTCTTCTTCACTGGCTCAGGATCCGTCCGTAGGCTTCCCTCCATCTTTGGTTATCGCAGGGAACAAGCCGAATCATCAACCAGAATCGTCGGCCTATATTTGCTTATCATCAATTATAAATCATCCTTCACCGGCAATGTCCAATATTTGTCAAACTTACTCCTGGAGAAAGCTTCGGAAAAGTGCCAGGTAGGTACATTTCAAGCAGTAATGATCAGAGGGGAATTCCATAGGATTCCTGCGCTTGATTGATTTCGGTGGATAGGTTTAACTTTCCTTTCAACTTTCCCTTCAGCAGAACGATCTGGTAGTAGTGGGCGGCTTGAATTAGCAAAAAGTGGTGTAATCGTAATTTTAATATTATACTTTTTGTATTGCTTAAAATTAACCGCATAGCTGCCAGCATGAGAGGTGTTACTTTATTGGTTGGCAGCCATTGCATAGTGGGATTTTGAACATTGAATGGTGGTGGAAATGTTGCTCCGGTTTTCAGTATTATTTTTTACCATTTGTAATCTCTTGTAAGTGTTATATTCAAAATGCGTTGTTTTTTTTTTAAATTATAGTTACATCAACACTCTTCGGTCATTCGTGACTTGTCCGGGGATGAGATTTGAACTCGTGCCTTCGGTGCGATAGTCATGGATGTCAACAACCACACGCACAAATATTTCTCTTACGTCCAATGTAAGGTTGGATTTATTACATCCTCTGGATATGTTTCATACAACAAATGTAATGGTAGTTGTAGCAATGGATTGCAGCGTACATACAAATTATTTCAGAATGCATATTTTTGAATTAAACCTTAACGTGACGATTTTCTAGAGACAATGTATTTCGGAAAACAAACTGTTCGAAATTTAAGCTGTCATAAAATTTCAAAATTATTCAAAAAACATTCCGGTGACCTCACTACAGAATTTGTTCTTTTCAGATTTTTCGCTGTCAAGCAGGTTCGAGGTTACTTTTTGAACACAATATGAACATGATTGACTGCCGACGGTTGTTACTCTGTTATTGCCAGATCAGTTGTAATTGGGTTGTTTAGGGGTATTGAGGTAAATACATATTCGGTATCTGCATTATAAATGAAACCGAAATCGAAAATTTCATCTAAGGCCTGTACTCGAAAAAAATGCACCAGACAAAAGTGCTCGCCAAAAATTTATTTTAAGTCGGATTTTCTTGAAACGTTCAGGGAATGAACTAATGCATATGGATTATGTTTCGGCATAATTACTTTATTCTATTTCCTTTCCATCGCTGAAAGCCCGCACCTTTCCCTTAAGACACCTCATTACATTTTGTGCAATGGTGAAGCCGACCTTTTTGGTCACTTTCATCCATTCTTTCTTCAACTCCAGCTCGTTCTTAAACACCTTGGACGATTTTCGAACTTTGGCCTTCATTATGGCTCAAAATCTGTTGTCTCTGTACCAATCCAACGTCGATCGCGCGTAATGGCGTGATGCCAGGTCCGCCCAAAATACTGTCTTGCCTCCGTGGGACCGCAGGAAGGGCAACAGACGCTTCTGGAGGCACTTGGTGCGGTAAATTTCGCTGTTGATGGTACCAATTGTGATGTACGGTTTACTCAGTTTACCGCATTGGCATATGACCTGCCAGAGCAAGTATTTTTTGGCGAATTTGTCCACTTTCTTCTTTCTTATGTCTTCCGGAACATCAAACCGTGATTTGGCAACGTAGAACTCCAGCCCCGGTATCTGCTTTGTGTCTGCCTTGATGTAGGTTTCGTCATCCATAACCACACACATCGGTTTCGTTAAACACTCTCGATACAGCTTCCTTGCGCGGGATTTGGCCGCCGTGTTTTGTTGATCATGCCGGTTCGGTGCCTTCCGGACCTTGAATACACGAAGCCCAGCTTGTTTCATGGTTTGCTGAACGAACCAGGCGGAACACTTTGCCTTCAGAGCCGCGTCGCGAATCGAAAGGTTCAGATTACGCTTGAAATAATCCAACACCTTCCGGGCCTTCACAGGGTCAGCTGTCTTCGATTTTCTTCCACTTCCAGCCCGCCGCTCGGTCGTCTGGGACTCCTTAAACGATTTTACCACGCGAGACACAGTTGTATGGGTGATTCCCAGTTGTCTTCCGATCCATCTCATGGTCGCAGTCGGATTTTCCATGACGGCGGGGAAAATTTTACGGCGATTTTCTAGATCTTTCGAACAGTTTTTTTTTTTTATTTCAGGAAACAGCGGGAAACTTCAAGAAGTTCCGAATATTTCAGGAATGATGTTAGAAGTTAAATTAATTTCAGTGTAATTTCTGGAAAAAAAAATATCAAGAGTAATTATGAGCTCTTCAGGGCAGGCTTCACGTAAGAAACTTTAAAGAAGTTGCGAAAACTGAAAGGAAGATCCGATAATTTCTGGGCACTTTCTTGAATCGACCGCGAGCACATAACGAACTTCTGGAGGAGTTTTGGGTTCTTCTAGGAAGATTAAAGTACTCCAAGATAGTTCCATTAGCATCAGGAAAACTGTAGCAACTTTAAAACAGTTATGAGAACTTCAAGGAAGTAAAACTTCATAGATGTCCGGAGAGCTTGATGAAAATTGTTAAAACTTTAAAGAAGTTCCAAGAAACTCAGAGAAGCTTGGTTTAGAGAACTACAGGGAAGATCAGAGGTCTTAAGGTAAAAGTTGATGTAATTAATTTTCAAAAATCTAAAGTAGTTTCGTCCAAATATTAAATTACGTTCATGAAAATGTGAATTTGCTGTCTACTTGCTTACCATTTTCATTGACAGAACTTCAGTTTTCAACGAAAAATCTGTCTTTTGAAATTCCGAAAAATTATTGACGTCCCCTTTCCCCTTAAATACAGTTCTAATAACTTCAAAAATTGGGGCGACCCTGGCCTAGTGGTTAGCATCCATACATCTCACGCCAAAGTCACGATTTCAAATCTCACACTGGACAAGTCACGAATGACCCAACAGCGAAAAAAACTAAATGGATTTTCCAAAAATTTTGAGAAAATCCAAACTTTTGAGGAAGTTCTGAAAAGAACAGGACAGTTTTATGAGTTTCAATAATATTTCGATATATTTTAAGAAATTCCAAGAAATTCTGGGAAGCCTGAAAACAATCTTAAGAAAACTTTTTAAATTCTTCAGGAACTTCTAGAAGATCCGGTGAACATCAGAGATATATAAATATATATCGGACATTGCCATTTATTTCAGATCTTCATAGAAGCACTTCAGGAGAATTGATGAATCTTCGCGAAACTGCACCAGTGCACGCGACACCTAGGTTTGAAATCCAAAACCACAAAAGTGATGATGTACTAAAAAATATTCCATACGATTTGATAGGTAGCAAAACGTCATTATCATTTTCTCATCATTTCCATCTGCTGGTCGACCGTAACGTAAATTCATCGATTGCTCAATAGTCTTTCAATGAAGTTCAGAGCACCTCAGGGCAATTCAATTAACCTCAATGAATTTTCAGTACTTTCAAATAATAAACTCAGAAATTTTTTGAAGATTTTAGCAAAGTTTCGTGAGTACAAGGAAAATTGCGGAATCTTCAGACTTATTTCATGAACTTCGGGAAAATGCGGTGACATTTTTAGAGGAGTTCAAATAACTTCATGTAAGTTTCGGGAACTTTTGTTAAATTTCGGGAGCATCAGCATAGATCAGAGAACTTTCAAGAAGTTCCGAGATCTTAAGGGAAGTCCAAAGAACTTAAGAAAAAGCATCAGTCCATTGTACTGTCATTACGAGTGTTGTAAGAATCATATACAGAGGATGTAAGAAATCCAGAATCCATTTAATGTTCATGACTCAATAGTTATATTATGTTTAAAGCAACAGCAATCTAATCTAATTCAATATTTTGAGTGACGAGTGAGGTGAGCTGCCTCTCGTCTCTGTTTCGCACGTAGTGCCAAACATTGAAGCCAGGGAGGTGACTCTACATGTGGACCATAGGTATAGAACCCATCATCACATGGGCCAGGACCAATAGCTTTACTACCCATTCAAAAGAAGGTGCCACCTAGATCAACTGGGCAGAGAAGCAATTATGCACCTACCACTCTGAGCAGAAAGGTGACCTTAAGTGTCCGAAACGATGCAGGTACTTTCTGAAGCAACCAGAAAGGAATTGTGTTACACCGAAAATAGTTTTCATGTAGCTTTCATTGAAAACGCAAATGATTTTCATCCATAAACAAAACTAATGGAATGCATCTGAATTTCACATAACATTTATGCGATCACGTTAATTTTATCTGATTTTTCATATAAATTTCATCGGCCTCATAATATTCATATGATTTTGTGGTGGGATTTTTAGCTATGTGAGATCACATGAAAGCTATGAGAAATTCACATGGGTTTCATCCATTAGATATGTGATAAATTTTTTGAGTGTAGGTAGAAGTTTTCTTCTCTACACTCTCTGTTCAACCAGGTCAGGTGATTCGGTATTAGCCTATGGGTCCTAAAGTTTGTGTTATTGAACAATATACTTACTATTAATAGTTTACAAAAAAAAAAAAATAGAATTTAAACCACTTTGGCCCCACTGTCCAACGGTAGGGTTCTGGTTGCATTTTCCCGGAAGTATCCCATCCAGGAAGTTGGTTCACTGCAAGATGAGCTATGTTTAACTTGGTAACTTTTCAACTTTCTATTTAGTCCTTGTGCTTGCGGCGTTCAATTTTCTTCCTCTGTCCGTCGAGTATTGCAGGAGGTTTGCTTCATTCTGTATTAAGCGCTCGGATGGGTTTATTTTTTGGATGGTTGTAGGAAAAGTTTAGGCCATCCTACGGTTGGTGTACGGAACAAGTCGCCAACGGTGATGGACTTAACGATAATGATGGTTGGGAATAAGGTGAATTTGCATTTTTATTTCAATTTTAAAATTGCTTTACCTTGCAAGTTTTTACATTTTATTTTTCGGTTCTAATTTGAACGGGAGCAATTGCTGGCGTATGAGCTATAAATGCGCGTTGTTCTCCACCGTCGTTCAGAGGGAGCGGTTTGACTGTTTGCATAATTTTGGCTGGCTACGGTGAAAACTTTTCCAATTCTCGAATGGTATCAAGAGGAGGGATGTCTTCAATTAGACTAGACTGGTGATAAGAGGTTGGTTAATGTGCGATGCACATACTGCTTTTATCGTTGGTACTTGAAAGAAGGAGTTGAAACTTCTATACGATATTGCAAAAGTAACAGACTAATTTAATTAGCATGTGAAACGCCAGCGAAACACTAATTGCAATTGTTCCCACCTCGACGTTCTCAAGTCTTATTTATGTGATTTCAACTGTGGGTCATAGAAGGTTTAGCTCAGTCACGCTATGGTCATAAAATTTAGTAACCAAAACCCGCTTTCACTCACATTTGACACGTTTCGGCTTTTTGCTGTTATGCTGCTCTATCTAAATTCGCATAAAATCCGGTTCACGTTCCCAGCAAAATAACATTAAACTGCATCACCACTTTACTAACACTGTTTTCCCAAGCAAACAATCTCACCCTTTACTCGCCATATTTTCAGCACACTAAATTCATTATGCCGCTTGGCAAGCACTACCAACACGACTAACAACCATAGCCATATTATTGCAGCTCGGTGATAGTATTTGCTTAAGTGAAAATTAAATAGTTTTAACGAAAGAGCATTATTTATTCAATTATCACATCTATCTTTTCCGGCGACCGTGAAATCCATGCTGGTGCGGTACAGTGCTGGTCGGTCGTCCACCGGTGGAGCAGGAGGAGCTGGAAGCCGGAGGCAGCGGCTAAACCAACGGGTACGACAACGGAGCCGAACCGTGCGGCTGAACCGAACCGGCTCCGGTGACGATGGCACTAATTACATAACGGCAAATATTAGCATTTTTCCGGCCAACAGTAGCGAATGCCGTCGGGAACACCGGGACTATCTGCAGCACCAGGGGAATCTGTGTGCCGGCCCGGTGGATAAAAGTCGCAGCTTGCATGTGGTAAGGACTATTAACGTTGTTTGCTGATTTGGAAGCTAGTTTTAGTATAGAAACGAGAGCGTTTGCAGGTTTGACGAGTACCTTAGGTAACAATTTTCTAAAAGCTTTTCCAGCACTTATGCAACGTTTTCAATAATATTTTCAAAATTTTTTTTTTGTGATATTAAAAACGAATGAAGCATGTAGTATCTTGCTGAAAATCTCCTCAATAAAGATAACCAACCAACCAACCAGGAGCTGAGCGGATCGTTATTCAGATTTTTAGGATCACCATAATTTAATAGGTCCATGCCTTCAAAGTGTTTTTATGTTACTTCATACGCGAAGTTAACGATTTTCAGAGTTGGTTGGAAATGCTAACACGAAGCTTTAGTGTCATGATTTTTATTAGCTAGAGAATGATTTTTAGAAGAGGGTAGGTGGATAGCTTCTATTCAATTTTCATACTGCCGTACTCTAACGGAACTATCCACCTACCCTCTTCTAAAAATCATTCTCTAGCTAATAAAAATCATCACACTAAAGCTTCATGTTAGCATTTCCAACCAACTCTGAAAATCGTTAACTTCGCGTATGAAGTAACATAAAAACACTTTGAATGTAACAACTCAAGGCGGGAGTAGCCGTCAACAATGCTGATGATGGTACAGCACACAACAACCACCCTACTGCCTGTGCCTCCTCTCTGATATGATCACGTTGGTCATGACGAAAGGAGCAATACAATAGTTGGGTAAAGAAGAACTGCATTATAACACACCATCGACTGGAAATGCTCTCGCAACGTGGGGCTTTAGGTAGTGATGAAAACGTTGCTAGAACTATTCCACAGCCGCAGTCAGTTTATGAGCAAAAAGAGGGACGCACATTTTTGCCTGTGGACTTGGAGACATACTTCAAGTCCCCACGTACATCGTACGGGTTAGGCAAAAATGTGCGTCGATCTTAAAACTGTCGCATTAATGGCCCTTCGCTCATTTTCAACTTCTATTCAATTTTCATACTGCCGTACTCTAACGGAACTATCCACCTACCCTCTTCTAAAAATCATTCTCTAGCTAATAAAAATCATCACACTAAAGCTTCATGTTAGCATTTCCAACCGAGGTCTATGCCTGTCATATTGGTTACTCATGGTTACTCCATGAGTAATCAACTCCATAAGCCAATTTGTTTTTTTTTTAATCAAAACTAACTGGGCGTACCAAAAATCTTCCCCAAATGTTTGGACACCCTTCTATTTTTGTCCGCCTTATGCTCTTGTGAAATTTGACAAGTCATTGCTCTAAAAATGTAGAAATATTGCTTCGCCGCTAGTGAGTTTATGAAAAATTTCAGGAATTTTATTGATGTTCTGGGAAATTTAGGAAAGCCTTGAAGAAATGAGGGATGACGGAGCATCAATTTCGTTGAAGAGATGAGAATCAATTTCGTTGAAGAGATGTACTAGCCATATGGCTAAAAATCTCGATAATAAATACCAAAAAAAAAAGATCAATTCCGATAATTTTAGGTCCGTTCTAAGATTTTTGGGGAGATTCCGAAACATTTAGAGAAATAAACAAAAAAAAAACTTCAGGTTAGTTCCAAGAACTATAGAAAAGTTCATAGCTTTGAGATCTTTAAGGCTAAACTCTGAAAACTACAGGGCAATTAAATGAACTTCAGGAATATTTAGTGAACTAAGATGAAGAATAGGGAACTTCGTGACAGTTCTATCAATTTCAAGATATTTTCAAGAACTTTTGAATTGTGGAATCTTTTGGGAAGTTCCGAAAACCTCAGGGTAAATTTAAGAATTTAAGGACCGTTAAAATCACTTCTGAAAAAAATGCTTGACCTTTAAAGATTTTCCAAGAACAAAGTCCAGAAAACTTTTAAAAAGTTGGGAGTTCCATAAAATTAAGGACAACTGGGGGATTTTTAATGACGTTCCGAGAACTTCAGGAACATTTTGAAAACCTTTTTTTTCGTTCATTAACATCAGAAAAAATGCGGGAACCTTGAAAAATGATAATCTCTTGAAAATTTCTAAGATTTTAAAAGAAGCTTCTAAAACTTGAGGTAAGTTCCGAAAACTTCAAGAACCTCCAGAACTACGGGCATGCGTTAGGATTTTTTAGATACGTTCTGGCAGCTTCAGGGCAGTTGGATAGATTTAATGAATTTAAGACCTTTAAGCCAGTCCCAATTTCAGGTCCTATAGACGGGTTAAAAGCTCTTAAAGGAAGTTACACAGTGTCGAGCAGTTCTGAGAACTCAGACTATGCTTTGGGAGCTCCAGGTAGATTTAAAGAGCATCCGGGAAGTTTAGAGACCACAAGGAAAAAATTGGAAACTTCACTAAAGCTGCCGGAAATTCACGGAGATTCAGAAAATATCGGGAAATTCAAAGATCTTTGGTGCAGACTGTTTACGGAATTTCAAGAAAATCAGAGAATTTCTTAAACTTCAGCAACGTTTCAAGAGCTTGATTTAAATTTCAGAAACGTTAGGGAGGTTACAAGAGCATCAGGAAAATGTTAGAACATTTTTGGGGGTGCTCCGTGATGTTCATGGCAGTTTCAAAACTTCAGTGAAGATCAGACAACTTCAAGGTAGTTCAATACATTTCAAGAAAATTGCGAGAACGTTCATAAATTCACTTCAGTGAAGTATATAGATTTCCATTTAGTTTCATTATATATCATTAGTTCTAATAACTTATGGATAATTATAGAGATGAACTAGCCCATGGTAGAAACTCACTTTAATAAAGAAACAAGAAGAAGCAGTTATGGAAAATTGCAGAAACTTCCAGTTGCATGGAATTATGGGATAATCCGAGAATTCCGTGATTATTTCGATACTTCAGGGACATTTTGGGGTCTTCATCGATATTTATAAATAGGGAAAATAGCTTCAATGATGGCCTATGGATTTAAAGAGTGGACCCATCGATAAAATCAAAATCATGTTCCTAAAATTTTGTCGAAGAACTATGCATCATCTGTACGATACACATGGATATTTTTGGAAGCTAGAGGAAAACTTACAAAAAATGCCATATAGGTTGATATCATTATATAACCCTATGATGAAAATTTCCGGAACATTTGAAAATTTAGGGACCATCAGAAAAGATTCGAATCCTTAGGGAAGTCCAGAAAAGTTGAAGGAAACTTGAAGATTGAAAAAAATAATTTAGAAATTCAGGGAATTCCAATTCCAATAATATTTCCAATAATATAAGCACCTTAAACATCAGTGATAACTAGACTTTCTTCTTCTTCTTCGTCTTCTTCTTTTTCGCATGTGAAGCTTATTGTTTATCGCAATTTTTTTATTAGTTTAATTGTGAGGCAAGTACAGACATACTCTATGCCAAGGGAAGTCGAGTAATTGTAATTGTCCAACTCGTAAAATTCCTAGACCGGGCGGGAATCGATCTTGCTTGATTGCTGCGCCTTTACGAACTGAGTTAAGGGATGCCCATATCTAGACTTTTGGGGATGTTTAAAGATAACGAAGAATTAGTTTCGATAACTAAAGGGCAGTTCCACGAATTTCAAGAAAGTTTTGAGAACTTCAGTGAAAATCTAAGATCTTTATCAATCATTTTGTTTCAATTTCAGAAAAAAATTAGGAAACTTAAAAAAATAACCTGAAATTTCGAGGGAATACAAAGATCTCCAGGGAAGTTAAGTAATTAAAAAAAAAATTGGAGATCTTCAGGAAAACTGTGGTAACTACCTAGAAGTCCAGAGAACTTCAGGGAAGATTCGGGAAATTCTGACGACTTCAGGAAAGATTCATGAACATCAGAAAAATGTGGGAATCAAGAATCAGGTGAACTTAAGAGAGGATCATTGCAGTTCCATTAATTTCAGATACATCTCGGAAATCATGGAATGTTCCTAGGTTTTCAAGAGGTCTATAGATGTTTAGAAAACTGCTGACATTTTTTAAGAACTTCACAGAAGTTCAGAGAATTTTTAAGAAGTTAATGGATTTTAAGGACAGTATAATTGAGTTCAGAGCAGCATCAAGAGCTTCAGGAAACATACAAAAACATTGGAGATGTTCCGAGAACTTCAGGATAATTTTTAAATCTGCAAGAAGTTCCTAGAATTCCAGAAAAAATCCGATAACTTTAGGGATGTCCATGGATGATCTGGGTAGTTCAAAGGTTTTAAAGGGAAGTACCGTGAGCATCGGGGTAGTTTTGAAATGGCAGGAACTGTTAATAAATTCTGAGGACTTAATAAAAGTCCACTGATCTTCAATGAATTGAATTGCAGAGAATTTCACGTTTGTTTTGAGATCTTTAGTAACATTTCGGGATCTTCAGGGCTGTTCTAAGATCATCTGTTAAAATTGCAGGAAGTCTTACTTATCATATCTGTCTGTATCTGTTGGATTATCATATTCTCGCTTTAATTAGTGACGTCTATTGATTGTTCTACTGTAACGCAAAAAAGAATTCTCGCGCAATACGAGTAAAGGGCCTATAATTGTTGATCGATTCTCTTCATCGATTTTATCTTTCGTGAATAACCCGACTGCAAATGAATTTTGCATTGAGTGTGTTGTTTCAGGCGCAAGCTAACATCATCTTCTGTCGAATAGTGCTGCGAGCTTAGCGAGAAATTCGTTTATTTAGCCGTGGTAAACCAAAGAGAAAGTCGACGAAGATAATCGATCAACGAGGATAAGCACTTTTCAAATGTTACGTGAGAATTCCGTTATTATCGCTTCCCAATCCATGTTTCTGAACGAAGACAGTGAAACAATTATGGTAGCATTGAACAATGATTTGAAGTTTGGCTATCTAAGGTCATGGTCTGGATACTCTAGTTGATGATCTCGTCTCAAATAGTTGAGCTAATTGCATACAAGTTTTTCCCATACCCCAGTACAAATTAACTTTAGGGAAGAGAAAACTAAATTGTGTGTACAAGCAGTTACACATTCATGCCTAGATGAACATTTTAAAAGGTTCTATCTGCATTGATCGATTC